ATTTATTAAATACATATATAAAGCAAAAATAATAAATTCTTAATTTATATAATTATTAATATAAATATTTATATATAAATATCTATTTATTTTAATCTCTATACAAATATAATAATTTATACAATATAATAACAGTTTTGTTGGTTCTTATTGTTTTATACGCGTATTACTATCTCCACAAAATATTCACCTCTTATAAAAACAAATACATGTTTTTAAAGTAGAAAATAACTAATTTAAATGAGCTTTTCATAAAATGTGTACACACAAAGAGATCAGTTTCTATAAAGCAAATTACTTGAATGTTTAATCGTGCGTTAAATATTCTGTATAAAGAAGAAATAATATAAAAAACATACAATATGTGTATGACTGCGTGATAATAAATATAATAATTATATAATATAAAAAATAATAGGATAATAAATATTAATGTTAACAAAAATTATGTTAACATAATACCTATGTAATGTGTCAACGCTGTATATGATTTTTGTTGTAGCAACGGAGGAAAAGTTTGATTTTGGGCACCAAAGAAAGAGTATAGATGACAAAGACGGGTTGGAAGCAACATGCAAAGCCGAAGGAGTTTATCCTCAGCCAATTCTCGATATTTCAGTCAAGTAAGTGTCTTTACAAAAATAAAACTTTTTTGAAATTTTTTTGATGCTTTAATTATTTGTATGTTATTCTAGTTTAGCGTATTATTTTAGATTAGCACATTATATTTTTATTTACCACATTATAACAATTTATTTAAAAAATTAATATCAAAAAGTTTTTTTTATTTATTGTAAAAACTAAATATCAAATTTACACTTTATAATTTTATTTAAATCTGTTTAAATTTGTTACAAATATAATTTATAACTTAAATTTATTAAAAATTGTAAAGTAAAAAATATTTTTGTCCTAAACAAAGGAAAACATTTTTTATATATAAAGGAAAAAAAATTGTTATATGTAATAATGGATAATATTTACAGGGATATTCCAGACAAACAAACTTTAAAACCCACGGTGACACTTCGTGAAGATGGATTGTATAATATCTTATCACGAGTAGATTTGCTAGACGAGGAACTACCAGAAGCTGCAGAACTTAGATGTACTCTCGACATCCCGAGAGCAAACTACAGTGTGTCCCGAAAAACCATATATTATTCCAGTTAGTTGTGTATTTTTATGCTTTAAATATCTCTATACTAACACACTACCAATTTATATTAGCTTTCTTTATATAGTAATGCTTAATAATCAAAATTTTTTAAAATTATTGAACCGTCATTTAATTAATCTCTATGCTTAGGTAGAAATGTCTATGCTTGGTTTTGTGTTGTACAGGAACGGCTACTACTACTTCATCTATTACAACGATACCGGAGCATAAAATGGATATCCAGGACAGCTCAAAGTCCAGTAATGGTGGTGGTAAGATCAATCATAAATTTTGTTAAAAATATATATACGGCACCGAATCATCACCATTAGCCACCATTTTCCGATTAAAGATCTTTAGAGTTTCTCGAAACCTGTGTATTCATTTCATGCTCGTTTTTATAAAAATTTGTTTAAGCATTTAAAAAAATCTGTATATCTATTTTTATATTTATTTATCAATTATTGACAGCATGTACGCATGGATTTTTATAGGAAGGATCATCATTTTTTTATGACATTTACAGCTTTTTTTATTTATTTATTTATTTATTTACAGGTTTTTTATTATTAACGGAGTATAATTTTTTTTTAATTTTTTGATTCTTAACGATGTTCTCAAATTACTACTTGTTATTAAAGATCGAAGCTCTTTTAATTATAAATTTCTTATCATCTCTTGCCTAGAGAAATTTATGACGTTGATGAGACCTTATTAGTTTCTTCTATGTATTATCAATGATATGATAGGTTGCAGTATTTATATAACAGAAATTAATTATTCATTCTATCCTACTTTCTTCTTCTTTTCTTGTGACATTAATATTATTCGGATATCATGTATTATCCAATGAAAGTCAAAATTGGCGAAAGCCCATTAGTATTATACCTTTCAGCGGAGAATTATCCTCGCGCAATATTAGCATCTCTCATATACATATACTAATGTCTATGCATTAATGCATATGCATTCCGCTCAAGTGGCTTTCATTATGGTTATGCATATTTATGAAACTCACCCGCGGCCGTTGTAACGCGCTCAATTATTGGCCCCATTAATTTTACAAAAATGCTCAAACGGAAAACATTTTTCATTATATTACAATATATGTGATGTATTAAAAAGGTATAAAGAAAGAGAAAGAGAGAGACAGAGAGAGACAGAGAGAGAGAAAGAAATTACATAAGAAACGTGGCGCTAGCATTACATGACATATATATATTAGATTGTTAGAATCAATATTATAGAACGTAGCATTTTATTGTCATTTTAAATTTCTCACTTAACAAGGAGATAAAAATGAAATATTATATGCTAAAACAAAAATTTAATAATAAATAATAATTTACAAATTAATTGAACCAAAAGAGATTTAATTTTGCTATCGCTTTGTTTTTATGGCACAATTGTATTTTAAAATAGTTTTGTAAATTATTGTTCAGTATTGCATTCCGTATCATTATCTGTTCCTTTTCTCAATTTTTTTTTTTAATTACATATATATAAAGAATATTTTTTGATCTAATATATGTTTTAATCTAATTGTAGGCTTCGTCGACTGTGCATCAATCAATGTTGTCCTCTTACCAATACTTCTGGCTATTCTTATTCTGTTACATTAATAATGCAGTCGACAGGTAAGTTTGAATCGACATTGGACTCGATTGGTATGTACATACCTCGATGACTTTCGGAAATCAACGATTCCAAATTATGCTTTATCTCCGCGCGCGTGATTTTATAATATATAATAATCTAGTCATAATTTTGAAAAATATGAATTATATCTGTTACAAAATGTCTTCTTTCCATAGTTTTTCAAAATTTTTTACACACACCAAATATGTAAAATATAGACGTAACTTATGTACTTATTTACAAATGTATAAACTTAAAATATGAATGTTTTTAGCTTTCTAAAATTTTTCAAAAAGTGTGATTGTAAAGCTAACGTAAAAAATAGAACAGGGATTGAATTTAAAAAAAAACATAACTGCAAAATGATGCATAGAATTTGGTTAAATTTCGGTTAATATTCTCCTTAATTGACACAGTATTTATATATGATAAAGAAAACTATTTTCCACAAATGTATAAAACATCTTGTTATATTACTTTTTTATTCGCTTCACATATCTAAAGATAAAATTTACAAAATTAAAGTTGATTGATTTATAGAATAATAAATATAAAAAAATTTTACCTAATAAGCTTGTGATCTGACGCGATATAAAATATGTGAAACATAATAAAAAGGTTCTAATATAAAATATTTAAAAAATACAATAAATGATTGTGAATGTTTAATCATTTTTTTGTACATTGTAAAAAATTTATAAGGTAAAGATTGACTCGTTTTCTTAAAAAAATCTAAATGAAGATTTTTAGACCAATATGTAAGACACGAGAAATCCATACGATTAATAATATTTAAAATATATCATTCGTAATATCTTTAGAATTCATTCTCATTCATGATTCAGAATTCATTCATGACAGAATTTATTTCAATTTTTACTGGAGTCTCCTTTATCCAATTGTTGACTATAATCAAGAGTAGCAATAATCAATAACTGGCTAGAGGACTCGAGTCAAAAGTGACTCTCCACTGCTGGAATGAATTCCAAAAATACTACAAATAGTGTATTTTAAGTATTGCACAAACAATTATTATTATTATAACTATGCCTCGTACGAGTATCATGGCTCATACTAATTTAAATATCCTTTTTGCACTTCGAAAAAAAAACATTTTTTAAAATATCGAATTTATAAAGCTCCTGGTCCTTTACTGCAGTCGTATTGATTTGTGACGTCTCGTCTCAGGCAAGAAATCAATCTTTGGAGTGAATCTTCCTCTTGTAAAATAAATTAGTTTTTTTGTATATATATATCACTATTCTCTCTCTTTCTCGCACATTCGATAATATAGATTAGTAAAATATATCGCAAATTTTTTTTTCAGTTGATGGATTGATAAAAATAACTATAAAGTTATTAAGTTATAAAAAGCTATTTTCGCAAAAAATAGAACAGATTGAGTAATACATAAATTTATTAATGTAAACTGATATAAAAAAGATGTTTTCAGTATATAGCAATCTATATATTATAAAAGATGCGAGTGATGGTATATGAAAAAACTAATTTATTTCGATATATAAAATGTGAAAAGAAGATTTACATAATTTCTGTCATAATTTTATATGAACTGCAATAAGAAAACAGGAATCTTGATAATAAAAAATATAAAAGAATATATGACATAGTCTATACATATATACACACATACGTATATATGCATACATACATATATACATACATACATATATATAATACATACACAACACATACATACACATACATATATATAGACTATGTCATATTTTCTATATTTTATATTAAAATAGTACCAAAGAATCTCCTTTGCCACAATGTAATATATATATACATATATATATAAAATTCAAAAATCTGATAAAAAAATATAAAAATATATGCGCATATGTTGTGTGTGTGTGTGTGTGTGGTTGAATAAATTATTCCTACTATAAATATAATAAATTTATTATTATAATTTTATAATCGTTAATTGACGATCAATTGTATATAACAACTTGGGAGACAAACAATTTTATTGTATAAACATAATTGAAAATTCTGTAAGTCTATAAGTCATATTTTTACAAATCATGTAAATAACATTGAATTTATTGTATTCAAATGTGCATATATAAGTAATTGAATAATATTGCTGAAATAATAATAATACTTTAATAGATATTTTCTTCCCTCTTTCCTCCCCTAATTCTTATCCATTGAGATTGAGAAATTGGCCAAAAACATCTCAATTGAAATATTCTAGATAAGAAACAATAATTTTTTTTGTAAGGATATAAATATATTTTTATTCCATAAAGAAGAAATATACATTTTCAAGCAAAAAACAGGAAAAAAAATAAGGCTCTCTCTTTTTATATAAATTAATCTTTTTTTCCCTAAATATTTCTTGAATTCTTAAAAACAAAACAAAATTTTTTTTAAATTTCAATTTTAAATATGTTTAATATTTTAATATATAAAATATTTAAGATTAAAATTATTTATACATCACATTTTTTCCATAAAAAATTTATTATTCATTCATCATATTATTTCATTCATTATTAAAAGGATTTATGGTGTACGTAGAAAAGATTCATGCAAAACTTTATGAAGCTTCTGAGCTTTGTGTAATCCAAATCCAGGACATAAAGCCAGCGTATTGGGTTGTGTTCTCACAATATCAGCCAATGTGCCAAAAGTTGTTAGAAGAGTTGTTGCATCAGTTTTGTTGATAGATCTTACTGTTGTTAAAGCATTAATCAACTGCAACAAATATTTATATATATATATATATTTTTTTTTTTTACTAAGTGTATATAAAAATATAGGATAATTACCTTTTGATGGGGTGCTGTATTGCTGCGTTCCATAATATCATCAGGGGGTTTGGCCTCGTATCTTTTGTAAGTTTCAATAATTTTTCCTGCATCTTCTGCACTCCATGCTAACATTATCGTCATGTCTGCCAGAATGGATATTCTTGTTAAATGTTTCAAAGCATGATGAGGATCAGCAACGTCAATCTAATTACATAAGTATTAATATAATTAATCATATTTATATAAAAAAATAACAAATGTATAAACCAATTATATATACCTGCACAAGAAGTACTCGCAAATTGTAAGCATTACCTAACAATTTGAGTCTTTCATGAATATAATCTGGATTGAGTTGGTGATAACGGATAGATAAGAAAAGAGCACATGTAGTTTTTCCCATTACATAGTCTGGTACAATGTCGGAATGTTCCCATGGAACATTATTTATAAACTTTAGCAATGGATTACCCTTCTGTAAAGACATTATTAAATATTAGAAATTTTTTAAATTTTATTTATAAATGTTAGTAGTTGCCTTATAAAGTTAATAAATTTATTCTATAAAAATATTATTGACTTCAGTTAACGCAAAATACAAGAAACATTTACTCTTATATTTTACTTCAACATTTTATATCACGCAATAAAACTACATTACCTGTTTTGGGCTGACTAAGACAGCATTGGTTCTGTAAGAAATTGTTGCTGCAGAAGTTTCAGGTGCTGGCAATTGTTCCTTGAAAAACTCGGATTTCTTTAAGTTACTAAAAGCAGCTAATGAAAAAAAAAGAGGCAAAGTTACAAGACTTATATTAATATATATAAATAATAAATAAATA